CAGGAAGAGAAAGAGAGAGAGAGAGAGAGAGAGGTGAGGAGAGAGGAGAGAGAGAGGAAAGTGTCGGAGAGAAAGAGAACGAGAGACGACGAGAAGAGGACGAGAGGCGAGGAGAGAGACGGATGAGAAGAAAGATCGGAGCGGACGAGAGAGAAAAGCATTAAGAGAGAGAGAGAGAGAGAGAGAGAGATGAGGAGAGAGAGAGAAAGAGAAGAAAAAGAGAGAGACGAGAGAGAGAGAGAGCTTAGAGAGAGAGAGATGAGAGAGAGAGAGAGGAGGGAGAGAGAGACGAGAGAGATTGAGAGGTGAGAGAGAGAGGAGAGTGCTGAAGAAGAAAGACGCGAAGAGGGAGATGAGCAGAGCGAGAGAGAGGAGAGAGGAGAGAGAAAGAAGAGAGCACTGAGAGAGGCGGGAAGGAAGAAGAAGAGGATACGAGAGAGAGGGAGAGGAGAGAGAGAGACGAGGAGAGGAGAGAGAAGAAAGAGAAAGAAAGGAGACGAGAGGAGAGGGGCAGAGAGGAGGAGAGAGGCTAGAGAGGAAAGAGAGAAGAGAGGGGACGAAGAGACGAGGGGGAGGAAGAAGAGAGAGAGAGAGAGAGAGAACGAGATTGAGAGGTGAGCTTGAGGGTGAGAGAGAGAGAGAGAGAGACTAGCTGGAGAGAAAGAGAAAGAGAGAGAGAAGAGAGAAAGAGAGAGGAAGAGAGATGAGAGAAGTAGATAGAGAGGAAGAGAGAGAGAGACGAGAGAGGGAGAATGACCCGGAGGGAGAGAGAGAGAAAGAGAAAGAAAGTGAGAGAGAGAGACGAGAGAAGAGAGCTAGAGAGAGAGAGAGGAGATGAGAGACGTGAGAGAGAGAGAGAGAGGAGTGACGCAAGAGAGAGAGAGAGGGGAGAGGAGAGAGAGCAGATGCAGAGGGACGTACAGCCTGCCCCGGCGAACATGAAGAACAGACCTGGAATAGAGAATTCCATCGCCCATGAGTGAGATGTACTCGTGGACAAGACAGCCAGACAGCACGAAACGAACATCATCGCTACGTGTTTCGATGCGTAATCGCCAACGCATCTGTGAACAAACAATGGTGACAGCTACTAACCATAATTATACACATTATACCCATATATATTTGTGTTCATTGATATATCGGAAGAGAATGTGGCGAGTACAAAAACGATCTGTGAGACTGGTGATAACCAAGTAGCATACATTCGTCTATTATGCACTGTGGAAAATAAATTTCAAATATTCTAGATTTGAAATAAGGCGATGAACTACATAACTAACTAATAGACTAATTGACTAGACGGGAAAAACATGAGAAACTGCATTCACTAGCATGAAGGATCAATGATTGTATAACGTACGTTGATAGACGTCCTTGTAAACGTACGTGCTACACAGTCAGTGAACGACTACGTTCCATGTCCTGTAGTAAGCAGAGAACGAGGCTAGAGTTCCACCAGTCTGCCAAAAACAATTGACTTCATTCGTCCAATATAGATACGGAACATTCAGTATAGGTAGCTTCCAGCATTTCTTGCAACGGCCACGATAAATGCAGTGCGGACACAAAATGATTGGCTATTCGGTCCACCATGCCATTTGGATTCTTTGCGAACATTTCGCTTCCTTCGCCGTTATTAGCCGCCCTTTTTCGTGACATTAATCATAAATGAATGACTATTGTCAGGTAATCAGTGGTTACCTTTATGCACCATGTTTAGTAATGTTAGCGGTCGTTACCGCCCTGTAGCGAGATTGAAAGGCTACCTACACGGGTAAGCTAGACATAATGCCTGCAACCTTTATACCGCTTTGCCGGCCACCTAGGTGCGCCCCCAAAACGCAGTCGTGCGTTCACAAAGGTTCTATCGGACACGTTCTTCACGTACCTTGTGAACATTCTGTCCCCGAAGCGTAGGCATTTCAGCAAAGGCATTCTAGCCAAGAGTGCAGGGATTGCTACGAAGAAGGCGTATGAACAGCACCAACCGTTCCGGGAAGAACACACCCAGCGAACGACGCCAAGGAATGTAGTTCTGTATGTTTCACGTGAATCGCATTGAGTTCTGCAACGAAAACAATATGTTCACGTGGTCGAGTTTCGTACGGGACGTTTGACGTTGCATTGGCGCTGATGCATAAGTTGGGCTTTTACCTGGAGTGGCTTTTATGCAAGCAAGTAAAACTGAAACCTATCCAGAATACATGCATGAGAATCAAACTAAAAACTGAAACTCTTCCAGAGTACAGCGCACGACAGATCGCAGTAAACTGAAACCTATCCAGAATTACGAGCTCGGACCGAGTAAAACTGAGTATTACGAGATACTGGCATGCTAGCGAAACAAAGTAAAATCTGACCCTACCGGGAACACCAGGCATAGCAGAATCGAGTGAAGATGACCAGAAACATAGACCAAACTCGCCACAACCTCAGCGAAGCTTGTGATCGCCACAGGAGTTCCACCGCACCTTCGATGGTCCTACAAAAAAGTAATTACCGGCAATGCTCCAAAATAAAAGTAGCCGGTTTCCAAGCAATTAGGACACTTACATAGGGTACAACCTCAACGGCAGATAGCAACATTCACCACAAGTGCCGACAAATCCAGTCCAGTGAACAAATGAAAGAACGATAATCTCAAAGCAGTATCCCATATAAGAAACAGACATGTGGATTTAAGAACACGCCATTAACGGAGCATTGCATGAGAGCCTACGATCATCGCTGAACAAATAAATCGAAATTTCACGCTGTGATTTCCATGCTACCATCTATCGGTCCCATCTCGAGTTTCACCAGAACCATAGATAGTACCGGCCTCCTCTCCACATCTCGCACGACGTCACTGCACGCGTCACGCCCACAAAACCTCGGGTAGTGATCCCTGTATTACAAGGGTCAACGCGCACAAACTCGGTAGTGATTCCCTGTCTACAAGGGTCACACGGCGCACCAAACCTCGGGTAGTGATCCCTGTATACAAGAGGTCAAACGCGCACAACCTCGGGTAGTGATCCCCTGTATACACAGCGGTCAACCGCCACAAACTCTGGCGGTTAGTGATCCCTGCTATACAAGCGGTCAACGGCGCACAACCTCGGCGAGTGATCCCTGTAATACAAGGCGTCGCTGCCGGCAAACTAGGACAGTACAGCGTAAACAGCGCTGAGGTCGGGGAATTGCTGATCCGTTTCTTCGTCTGCAATGCTAAGCGTGTCGGCCGTAAGTTCCCACGACAACGGCCTACGTTGCCATACTCTACTCAAACACTATCGCCACTACGTTTAGTTAATATACTATACCTTACTACGTACTGTCAGTACATTGTTTAGTCATACATACTTAATTTATTACACTATTCATAGCTTTGTTTTTTATATAGTAAATAATATCATATACATATACTAGGCTATTACATACATATATTGTATTTAGTCCTATATATTATAACTCCAAGAACACAGTGTATTCTCTACATAGCTCACACCATACTTTATAATACTATATCATATTATACACAGCCATGATATATACGTACCGTATACTATTAGAAGTACCATGAATAGGGGAAGTGAGATGAAATTATATCAGAGCCGGAGATAGAAAGAGCTATTTATGATACTCCTGACACTATCAGACCTTATAACGAGATGTACACCTACCATGATGCTACACAGTAAATGCACTCACTGCCATGATCGTACGAGTCAGAGGTAATGCATCGATGGTGGTATTCCACGATAGGAATCAGTCAAGGAGGAGGATGTTGCATTTGTGAAACAGCTGACAATAAACAATGTGGTCTCACAAAGATTTCAGCCAAAGTCGTTTCTTGGTTCAAGGCAGAGCGAATTCGTAAAATTGCCGTGGTGCCGGGTGAAAATTAATTCGATAGGAAGCAGATGCCGTTACATCTTTCGCCTTGAAGTTGACCACACGAGTATAGTCTCTCTCGACGAAGGAAATGTGTTCTTGCATTATTAAGCGGCGCGGGCGCGGAGTGTCTGCAAAACAAAGCAATCATAACATTTACACAACTATATTGACTTGACATTTTACAAGTAATTCATGAAACCTGTCACTTAAACATCTACTACGAGAGAAGGCGAATTCACGAGCAGCACTCAATAGTGCATTGACAAACTAAATTCGATCAGCAACCACTCGAGGGCAGCACCATGCAGATCTACCTACCTGCCTCTGCCCAACAATAATAGTGTTTCTTGTGCCTGCGGAGGGCAATGATATATCCACACCCCGAGCGCATGGGGGAGTAAAGGAGAGAGCACATATATACTATGATATATAGCCAACCAGAAGTGTCACGGTGCTTGCCCTGCGGGAAAGAAAAAAAACAAATATGATAAGCTGAAAGCCACTTGATACATATTTACATTCTCAGTCTCGAAAGGCGACGACAGAAACATCATTCGTTATCGTTTAGCCTCGAACGAGGTCGCCGGTTTTGTGGGGATTTCACTAGGACAACGTTAGAAAAAACAAAGACGAGGGAACCACACAGACGGTTAAACGAGCGGAGAAGTACAACACGAAGGGACCGCCGCGCGACAAACCCGATCGCCTGGTATTTTGGCTCGGCATCTCACGGCGTGATCCGCTCAAACATCGTAAATCGAATGTTCAGGTGATAAATGAGGACCGGGAAGGTTCGTAAGGTCGTGTCTCTCACATGTCTCAGCGGCGTTGGCGTGAGCCGGCCAGAACTTGCAGCGTGCAGACACGATTGGCATCGTTGACAGCATCATGACGGCGCCACACGAACATGACCTGCCCGGAATACTTTCCCATCGCCCCAGTTGATGAGGCTTGAAGTCCAAAACTAGCCTGCAAGCAGACACACACACTGTTCAAGACACTAACACAAGAAATTACTGACTATCCTCTGTTTATATATACAGTCCGGCACCTCCTTTTATCCCCGGCCACGTCCGGTAGAGGCCAGCACCCAATCCGGATCGGGATTTGGCCGGGATGAAAAGTACGGCTCAAACACAGCATTTTCAGTTCATATGCAGTTCAGTGGAGGGGTTATGGATCGCTGATAATGTATTTACTCGTCTGTTACCGATGCATTATTTGCCTAACAAACTGTCGCTGTTTATGGATTTATATGATATGCAAATAAAGACAGACATTTTCACACTTCGCGTTTATGTTTGTTTCTTTTGTTGCTGAGATCTAGGGCGCTGTAACGATCGATACACTCGCGGCGTTACATGCCTAGGGCTGTTACATGTGCGCGGCAGCGGCGCCTTTGATTGAAGTACAGGGCTCGATCGATTGTGAGTGCATAGCGAGGTAGCGCCTTTCGCTAACGTCCGCTAGTAAGTTGTTCGTTAACGGACGAAAGCTGTCAGGAGGCATAGCGGACAACACATACACGCACGCACGCACGCATAAACACACATTTTTTTTCATTCATATAGTATACAATGTATATATCTTTTATTCCTTGGTAGTTTTTACAGCATCAACAAGTGAGTATGTATTCGTGAAATATTCGTATTAAAATGGCCGTATATTTATACATGTACATGTACATGGGCGTTTGCTCTTACGGTAACTGTGTTTGTTTTGTGCATGTGATAGCTGTGCGCTCTTACGATAATCTATGTGTACATCGCGCGAGTTTTGAGCGAATGAAAAAACAGGTGAAAATGAATGAAAAAACAGAGAACATACACTGCGAGATCGCGGCCGATTAATAGAGATTTCCTAATAACGGATGGCCGGATAAAGGAGGTCGTACTGTATACATATACATTTATATATATATATATATATATTTTCTCTTTATTCCTGTGATACATGCCCAACCATGCTAACAGCTCAATTCCAAAAGAACCTAAACTCAGGTGTGCAATGTCGTCCTGCGTATATATACGCTCGCGTGACCAACTAGCTTTTCTTCTCCTAGTTGGCTACTGTCGCGCCGTAGAGCATGCACGGTGTATGCTGTACTCGGTATAGGTTATTACGAGACGCAATCCTTAACACACACCACGTCAAGTTACACAACTCATGCGAATGCCTGGCACACGCACTGGCTAAAAACAAATTAACGAACCAATAACTAAAATAATATACTAGAGATAAATCGTTCATATGAACTTCGAGAGGTCTTAATTACACAAACGACTGACCTGCCTGTGTCGAGGTAATCCTGTATGAGCGTGTTGAGCGTGAAGAGGATTAAGATAGCGACAAACACGTGGTAAATGCTTCGCACGTGGCTCACCTCCAAAAGTTCCCTGTTCGTCGAAAATGTCGCAAACTTACAGATTTCAACTTAAATTTGTAAAGCATGGGGTTTCATCTCTGATTAAAGCACGAATTAAAAACGATTCTGCATCAGCGAAACTATGCGGCAAGGTTACCAGTGGCTGTCGTCACACGTAAAGATTTCATGTATGAGAACAATAAATACCAACTAGAACATAAACTCTATAGAACACCTACACTCGTACTGTCGTGCTCGCCAGCACAGCAATAGAGCAGCGAGTTGTAAATATGTATCAGGGGAAGATAATGACAAATCTGTCATTAAAATTTGACTGTCATTAAAACTGACAAATTTGTAAAGTCATCTACCCCTGCATGTATGTATGACGGCAGATGCTCATAAAACTAATGATTTTTTGATAAACAATGTATAAGCAACATGCCGCTCTCACGAACAATACATTTTGCGAGTTTATTTCTCCCCTATTTATCCCTCTATTTATCCCCTATTAACCCGTCCTCCCCCCCACCCTCCACGCTAACCCATGCAACCCCCACCCTCCACCCTAACCCGTCCTCCCCCAACCTAACCCGTTCAACCCCATCAGCAAGCATGCACTTACGTCAAGAGTGATTCTCTTGTCACAAACACCTTATCTGGAAGCTCGCCAGGCGTTCTGAAAAGATACATCGAGGCAAAGCAAACATTAAGTTCGGCGTTCGCGTTACACATAGAGATAATGCATTCGACAAAACTTTACGATACTGTAGAGTTGTAGAAGGAGCGTCGAGGTACGCACCACCGATGCGAAAATGTGTGTGTCGCCACGACGTACGAGTATACATGTGATTACTACATTTCACCTAATCGTAAACTGTATCACGCAAACTCAATTCATGGGTATTTCCGCACCACTAGGCGTCGCCACCCACGCGACACTGCCGGGACACATTTTCGTCCGTTAATCGCAAACGATGTACTCAGTACAAAACGTAGTCAACGACACGCGGCAGAGATCGCGTGACGAGAGGCGACTCTCATTAAACAAGTTCATTCGGTTGGAAGATAATAGAGCTATCTTGCAGGGCCTGACATTAAGGACTGCCCGATGGCCCGGGGCAAGTGGAATGGACGTTCGGGCAAGTGCAACGTGATCGAGTCTATCTTGCCCGATCGGGCAAGTGAAAAATTCTAAATGCATCAACAGTAAAAAGTGCAGTCAGTTTCCTGTGTATGTTATTCTGTTTATTATTTGTGGGTTTTTTAATAATCACATATATACTAGTTGCAAAAATAAAGTCAAACGGTAGCTTACGTGTGGGAAAGCCATATAGGGCTGTAGTACATACGCATGTGAAACAGTGTATTACGGCTAGCGCAAATAGTGGAGTGTCTGTCTGTACGAGCGAGGAGAATCGATTGTTTTTTATAGTATGTGAACCACGAGTGCGAAGCGCGAAGTCTCTTGCGGCCGGGGTCCAGGGCCCGCGTAAGGGCCCTGGAAGCTCAGGGGGTTTGAGAAAGCGGCCCGCGAGGCACGCGTGTATGACTGTGCACATCAACGCTGCGTACGTGCCTGCTGGCAGGGGCTGCATTCATTGAAGTAGGGGGGGGGGAGAACACGATTTTTGATTGTTTCAGCATAGTACTAATCACTACTAAAATGTAGGGGGTGGGCATTGCTGGACTATGAGTGAGCGACAGCAAAACTCTTTCCTGGAATTGAGGAAAAAGCTACAACCGGGAATGACACACAAGTGTGCCGGCACGCAAAAATAAACGTGTGAATTTCAATTTTCAATTTTCAATTTCAAAGGCAGCGCCGACCAAAATTTGCCGCACAAGCCCGACCCCAGGATCAAGTCGAGGATCTGGATTACCAGGATAGACTCCTCGACTTTATCATGAGAAATGTAGCAGATCCTGCTCAAGAGGGAGAGTGATCTGTCAGTGCTTTGTTCATCTGTCAGGTTCATGAAAATAAATCTGTTGTAATGTTTGACTTGTTCATGTCATATATTATTCAAATAGTTGTGGTTCCCATTACTTTTTACATAGTACCAAAAAACATTAGGTGAGGTAGGTCGACCATTATTCCTTTTCAACATAATAGTATACGTCTCAAAGAAATATCATTGTATAATTGTCTGTAAAAGGGTTAGGGTTTGGTCTGGTATATATCTAAAAGGAACCACAACTATGTTTTTTCCCCAGTATGGGTAAACTACACATAATACAATATCGACGTTTCGGACAAGTGAGATTAACATTCGGGCAAGTGAAAATTCAACCCAACTTGCCCAAATGGGCAAATGGGTTGAAAAATTAATGTCAAGCCCTGTCTTGGATAATTTTTACTCAACTGTGTTGATCAAAACATACTGATGACGTTTCGCCTTCTATCAGGAAGCTTTCTCAAAGCTGACTGAATTCGCAAGACCCCGAACATCAACCGTGACGAGGGGCGATACAGACTCAGTCACGTGTGGACCAAGCTGTTGACCACTACACCATCTGGTGGTCAAATCTGATAACTTCAGTCAGCTTTGAGAAAGCCTCCTGGTAGGAGCTGAAACGTCGGCAGTACGTTTTGATCAACACGGTTGAATAAAAATTAACCAAGAGAGGCAACTCGTTACTTTTTCTGGCTGAAGTGCGTTGTGGTGTCGCCATTCTTCTGGAACACGTCGCTCTCGATATGTTCTACCTCAGCTAAGTAATCCTCGAACTTGTCGTTCACCTGCGAGTTGACTTGCTCCAGGACGTCCTCCCTCAGTTTCTGCAAGAAAACGTATGATTCACGCTAACGCCATCCATTTCTGTAGCCTTTCCCATCTGATGATCATAGAGGAGACTGCATAGGGTGTAAAACCTTCGAGAAATCATACTTATTCATGCCGCAGACCTAGATTGCCTTAACGAGATCGTTAACGAGAAAAATCACTTAGTTCACCTGAAAACTGCATCGTATGGTTTCTTCAAAATTAGTTTTGACATTTTTTCCCAGCATAGACCAGAAAACTGTGTATTCAGTTCGCAACACAGAATTATATTCTGTGTGTACACACGGGGGGAGACCACCACTCTTGACAAGTTCCTAACACTCCTGCACACCAACCTGAGTCCTCTCGCGTATCTTTTCCAACTTCATCTCTTTGAAGATGTTTTGTGGAGCCGGTTCGTTAACTGAAAGAGAAACGACTACACGTTAAAAACGTACTTCCATAAACATATACATCATTGTACACATCGTTGCAATTCAAGACACAAACGTTGCATTGAACACTACCAAGAGTTCATTAATACCTATTATCATGAACGTACACATCTACACGTTCATGCTATTAGTGATAATTATTAATAATGCTGAGCTTTATTACTGGGTTCTTGATATGACAGACTACAGAACACACTCACAGTAGGTATCGGCCTAGTATAGGAAGGACAAGAAATAAAAACGTGCACCTACCTTCTGTAACTACAAACACACAAGCACCAAGTCTAGCTCTGAATCGCGCAAATCAAAGACGCTCGATCAGGGTAACCTGAACTCAAAGTCTTAAGTGAAATTTGCTTTTCATGATAGGTCATGCGACATCAAGTCATGCGATAGGGTTAATTTCACCCTATGAACTGATCGTGATAACAATAATCATTAGCAGTAGACTATATACTGGCGATAGAAAACAGGTTTACTTTTCAAAGTCCACGTCTGAGATCATGCCACACTTCTTCCTGTCACTCACAGGCAAATATGTCAACAGTGGTGTGTTGATATTGTTGAGAGTATGTCAATAATATGTTCAACTAAATCCATAAACCTTACCCTATATATATATATATA